TGCCACAGTGGGAGACACTCCCAGTCTCATCACACCTTGGAAAGTGGGGCTAGACCCAAGCAGGCGAGGTGCATCTGTTCCCTCTCTGGCCCCTCCCCCACAGGCAGTGCTGCAGTGCAACTAGGACGGTTGCCCAGCCCTGGTGAATACCTAAGGCCCTGCCCCCTTACAAATTATCAGGTGCACTGAGACAAAGAAATAAGGCCCAAATGAAAGAACAGAACAAAACTTCAGAAAGACAGCTAAGCGATGAGGAGATAGACGACTTATCTGATGGAGAATTTAAAGCCCTGGTAATCAAGATGCCCCCAGAACTCATTGAGCTTAGTCACAAAATGAAGGAACAAATGAAAGGTAGCCAAAGTGAAATAAAGCAAAATATTCACAGAACCAACAGTGACAGGAAGGAAACCGGGACTCAAAGCAACAATTTGGAACAAAAGGAAGAAACAAACATCCAACCAGAACAGAATGAAGGAACAAGAATTCAAAAAAAAAAAAAATGAAGAGAGGCTTAGGATCCTCTGGGACAACTTTAAATGTTCCAGTATCTTAATTATAGGGGTGTCAGAAGGTGAAGAACGAGAGCAAGATAGTGAAAACTTATTTGAAGAAATAATGAAGGAAAACTTCCCCAATCTGGCAAAGGGAACAGACTTCCAGGAAGTCCAGGAAGCCCAGAGAGTCCCAAAGAAGTTGGACCCAAAGAGGAACACACCAAGGCACAGCATCATTAACTTGCCCAAGATTAAAGACAAAGAGAGAATCTTAAAAGCAGCAAGAGGGAAGGAAAGAGTTACCTACAAAGGAGTGCCCATAAGGCCCTCAGCTGATTTCTCGAAAGAAACCTCGTAGGCAAGAAGGGACTGGAAAGAAGTATTCAGACTCACAAAAGGCAAGGAACTACATCCAAGATGACTCTACCCAGCAAAGCTATCATTTACAATGGAAGGGCAGATGAAGTGCTTCCCAGACAAGGTCAAGTTAAAGGAGTTCATCACCACCAAGCCCTTATTACATGAAATGTTAAAGGGACTTATCTAAGAAACTGAAGAAGACCAAAAACTATGAACAGTAAAATGATAACAAACTCAAACTATCGACAAATGAACCTAAAAAAAGAAAAAAAAAAACAATGAAAACGAAAACTAAGCAAACAACTAGAACAGGAACAGAATCAGAGAAATCAACATCACATGGAGGGTTTTCAGTGGGGTGTGGGAGGGGAGGAATAGTGGGGAAAAGGTACATGGAGTAAGAAGCATAATTGGTAGGCATAAAATAGACCGGGAGAGGTCAAAAATGGTATAGGAAACAGAAAACTCAAAGAACTTATATGTACAACCCATGGACATGAACTAAGCAGGGGGGATGCTGGAGGGTTGGGGGTGCAGGGCAGAGGGGGGATAAAGGGGAAAAATGTAAAAACTGTAATAGCATAATCAATAAAATATACTTAAAGAAATAAACTACACAGAATAGTGTAAACGTAAGTGTTATACACACTGGGAAAACAAAAGAATGTGTGCGACTCACTGTGTTGCAATATTCGCTTTATTAGTGGTGGTCTGGAAGCAAACCTGCATCTCTGTGAGGTATGCCTCTATTTGTGAGCTCAGGCAACCATAACAAAGTACCACAGTCAGGCCGGCTTAAGCAATAGGAACTTCTTTTCCCACAGTTCTGGAGACTCAAAGTCCAAGATGAAGGTACCAGGAGTCCTGGTTTCGGGTGAGGCCTCCTCCTTGAGTCACACACAGCTACCTTCTCACTGTGCCCTTACACGGCCTTTCTTCTGTGTGTGTGCAGAGAGAAAGAGGGAGCGCCCTGGTGTCTGTGTCTCTCTTTCTGGCACCAGTCCCAGTGGACCAGGGGCTAGCCCTTATGACTTGATTTGACCTTAACTACCTCCTGAAAGTCTCTCTCTCCACGTATAGTCACATTAGGGTTTCAACATATGGCCTGGGGTGGGGGAGGGGAACAATTCAGCCCATAGATAACCCAAACAAAATATTTTCAATCTTTTAAATCTTTGCCGACATTGTAACGAAAATCATATTACCATATGGTTTCACTTTCTTTTGACTTCTAATGATTTAATAGCAATTTACAGGACATTTGGACAGTGTTATTTATCTCCATCCACTCATACACTTTGTCAATTTCTTATTGGAATAGTCATATTTACTTATCGATTGGTGAGTGCTCTTTATATGTTAAAGTTAGCATTAATCTTTATCATAATTTGAAAATACTTTCCTGCTTCCTTGCTTCATATCTGGTCATAATTCCTTTATCTATAGAATGTCTTGTAAAATTTAAATGTCATTTAAGTGATCATTGTTTCATGATGATTTAGCACCTTATATCCAACAGAAAGCCTCACTCAGTGTGAAATTATAATATTCGTCACTCATACCATCTAGTACTTTAATATTTTCATCCACTCAGAATTTATTCTGGCGTGGAGACGACAATGATCTGGTTATTTTTCTTGCCAACGTTAGGCAGGTGTCTCAACAGCAGGTGCTGAATAATCTCTATTTCTCCAGGGAGTTGACGTGTTGTCTTCACCACATTCTAAACTCCATCTTCATCTACTCTTGCAGCTTGGGCCGCACTGCCAAGGGTGCAGGGTGAGAGGGTGAGACACGAGCATAAGAAGGAAGTGAGACGGACAAGGTTAGGGCGTGAAGGGATTAGAGGTTTGGTCCTTGGGGATGCTTGAGCATTTGGGGTTTTTTATTGCTTTATTATCCTCAATGACACAGTGATAAATATTTTGTTAAAAAAATCCTTGTATGCACACATTTAGCCCGATATACACAGTGCTAGTTTTAGTGTGAGAGAGTTTTCAGGGCATGGAGTTCATACCTTTGAGGAACTATGCATTCCCTCATGACCTATTTAGCCAGGTCTCTGTAATTTCAGTACATTGCCTGGTCAGAGGATGAGGGAACATTACTCTATCACGTAGTAGAGTGAAGGATGGGGAGAAAGGCCAAGATGTGTGGGTGCCAAGGTGATGTCCAAAATCAAACACAAGTGCCATCTTCTCCTTGGAAGATGGGGTTCATCAGCCAGGCAGGAGCAGTTGTATCCTAAGCAACTAAGACAGGCTTGTGACTGGAGAAAGGAGTAAGTGAAACCGAAGACTGCATAAAGAACAAGAGTGAAATTACTTGGGTCACTCAAGTCAGAAGAAAGAGAAAGCTGGTTGTGACCTTGCTTTTCACATTTCCAGAGAATCATTTCCAAAGAATCAGGAAGTACATCTCCAAAAGAAGCAAACGCTAACTGGGTAGAAAAATGAAAGCATACAATTAAGTTGAAAATACAAAATTATAAAAATAAAAGGAGAAACACAGAAGAAGAAGTTGATGTGTGATACAAAACCCAGAAGGCATGCACGAACAAAAATGAGTCAATGTCAGAATGCAAAGAAATGTTAAGTGCATTTATGGCAGAAAACACCATAAAGGCACCGAACTGCGAATCGATTGAGAAGACTATCTATAAGTCAGATAATAAACAAAGCAGGATTCAAAATCCAGGAAACAAAAAAGATAAAATCAATGTCTAATTACACAAAAATGTTAATTTCTGTTTTGGAAGAGAACATCAAAAATCAAATGATAAGACAAACAATTTAGAAGCAATTAGTGACCCAAACAATAAACGAAAGTTAATATCTTTAAAATGAAAATACCTTTTAGAAATCAATACCTAAAAAGGCAGAGAACCCAGAAGAAAATTGCACAAATGACAGGAACATGGCATTCATAGAATAAGACTCATAGACAGCTAATTTGGATGAGGTATGACCCTATTTATGTGAAAAAATTACATTGAAAATGCAGCCCTACCCGGGTTGCTCAGTAGGCGGCCCCATTGTCCCTGCATCAAAAGCTTTCATTTTTGTTCCCTGTTCCAGGCCCTTATGAGGCACGCTCTCTCTCACATGGATGCTTCTCTCTCTTCCTCCCTCCCTCCCTCCCTCCCTCCCTCGCTCCCTCCCTCCCTCCCTCTCTCCCTCTCTCCCTCTCTTTATCTCTCCCTCTAAAAATGAATAAACATATACTCGAGGAAGAATTTTTTGACATTTAGGGTAATATATCCTGAGGGAAAAACATCAAAAAGAAAATGCACAAAACTGTTCATGGTGGTTAGTGTAGAGACTCAGGTTATGAGAAACTATTACTCTCTAACAACACACCATTGTATAAAGCATGAATGGTTTTATAACAAGCGTATATTACAGTTGAAAAAGTTGAACATATTTAAGCATCCAGAAGTGTAAATACATTCTGAACCCAGTTGTGATCCCCTGCTTAAACATGCAGGTACACACATACAGGGTTCTAAAAGAAACCCGGAGAAAACTGCCAAAATGTCCCCAGCAGTTCCCTCTGGGTGGTAAAAGTGTGGGGCGTGCCCTGACTGGTGTCGCTCAGCTGATTGGCCGTCGTCCCACAGCGTGGAAGATCGCCGGTTCCATTCCCAGTCAAAGCACATGCCTGGGTTATGGGTTCGGTGCCCTGTTGGGGCTCATGGGAGAGGCAACCAATGTACGTTTCTCTCTCACGTGAATGTTTCCTTCCCTCTCTTTCTTCCTCCCTTCCAAACTCTCTACAAATAAATAAATAAATAATGAACTCTTTTGGAAAAAGAATGTGGACCGTATTTTATTCATCACTTTATAAGTTTCTGCAACTGCACAACTGACCCAGTGAATATGTTCTACGTCCACTAATGGGAAATACTATTTTAGCAACAGAGACACGTCATCTCTGCATATTTTAGCATAAACAATATGCAACAGAGACACGTGATCTCTGCTGGTATGGGGGGGAAACCTGGCACACAAAGTAGGGTTCAGCAAATGAACCATGCACATGAAATTCCAAGCTCCTGTGTTACTGCACTCACCCTCGAGTGCCCGGTCCGTCCCAGCCTCACTGTGGAGAACACGTGTGGCCTTGATTTGATGTGACAAGTGCCTAGCAGGCACTTTCTTTCCCAAGGACCTTAAATAAAGCCCCCTTCGCCTCCTTGTTTTGCACGCTGTAGATGATGGGGTTGAGCATGGGAGTGAGGACCACGTACAGCACAGAGAGCAGCCGGTCTCGCAAGCCCGAGTATGCAGAGCTGGGAAGGATGTAGCAGAGCCCTGAAGTGACGTAGAAAATACAGACCACAGTGACGTGAGCGCCACAGGTGGAAAAGGCTTTCCTTCGGCCCTCAGCACAGTGGACCCTGAGAACAGCGGCCACAATGTGCATATAGGAGATGACAACCAGGGCGCAGGGGGCAAGAGCCACCAGAAAACCAAAGAAGACCAGGGCGAGTTCACTTGCCTGCGTGCTGGAGCAAGAGAGTTTGAGCAGTGGAGGGAGGTCACAGAAGAAGTGAGTGATGAGGCGAGGTCCGCAGAATTTGAGTAGAGCTGCAAGGGTGGTGTGGGTGAGTGCATTGGCCAAGGCAAGAAGGCAGGAGATTGAAGCTAGTCCTGCCCGGGTTCTTAAGAATATCTGGGCAAGACAAGCACGATAGGGCATGGTCCGCACTGGTGCCAGCAGATGCACCAGCACCTGAGGCACCGTGTTGGAGACATAGGCAGTGTCCAGCAGCGACAGGTTGGCTAAGAAGAAGTACACGGGAGTGTGGAGCCGGGAGTCCATTACAATGAGGCTGACGATGCCCAGGTTCCCAACCACAGCCACTATGTAGACCAGCAGGAAGATGGCAAAGAGCAAGGGCCTCAACTCCTCTGTGTCAGTCAACCCTTCCAGAAGGAACTGGGACACTAGGGTCCCATTTTCCAGCCACATGGAACCACGCACAGAAACCTGCACCTGTAGAGTCCCACAGAGACTCAGATGAGGGAGTAAGTTCGGAGTTCAATTGACAAAGGGAGTGGGGGGGGGGTGAGGGAAGGTCCAGAGACAAAGCAGACAGCTTTCAAGCTGACGGGATGAAGACTCAGGATTGGAGGAAAGGAGGTCAAGCTGAAGAGCCCAGCGGGAAGGTAGAGGCCAGCAGAATGGAAAGGGTAGCCCCCCTCAGCCCCCACACCAAGAGGAGGTGCACACGCCTTGACGTCACAGTGCACGCACCTCCTGTCAGGGTATCAGAGTCAACCCCTCGGAATCCTCTCCCTGAATAAATGACCCTGGACCTTGTAACTTTCCGAAAGGGCCCCGTTATTTCACCATCGCCAGTCCAGCAGAGGCCCAATTCAGGATCACTGATAAGACATCAGTCAGGTGTCTCTTTCTGCTCTTCTGAACCTTTCAGTGCCTTCCACATCACTCAAAGTCAAAGCCAAAGTCCTCCCCAGGGCCCACCAGGCCCTCTGTGACACACCCTCTCCTCTCCTCTCCTCTCCTCTCCTCTCCTCTCCTCTCCTCTCCTCTCCTCTCCTCTCCTCTCCTCTCCTCTCCTCTCCTCTCCTCTCCTCCCCTCCCCTCCCCGATCTTCAGGCAAGAAAGAGGTCTGTCAGCTCCTTGCCCCATATTGCATCTTCAGACCTATTTACCGAAGTGAACATCCTTGCCTGTTGCCGCCCTCCTCACCAAGGCTAATTTCTACAGCTGCCTCCTCTTCTCGATCCCTGGAAATTCTTTCACATGGGAAACTACTAGATGCCACTGAATTGTTTGCTTTAAAATGGTTACTTTCATGTTATGCCAATTTTACCTCAATAAATAAGGAAGCAAAGTAAAGATTTTTTTCAGGCATATAAAAGCAGAGATCATTTGTTATCAGCCCAACACCTGCACTGTAAGAAATATTAAGGACAGTTCTCTATAAGGAAGGATGATACGAAAACATTTCAGGTTCGATCCTTTGTCAGGGTGTGTGTGGGAGGCAACTGATCGATGTTTCTCTCTCATATCAGTGCCCCTCTCTCTCCCCCCCTTTGTACAAATCAATGAATGTATTGCCCGATGAGGATGAAAAAAATTGACACAGCGTGTCCACACAAAGACTTGAACATAAATTTTCCTATCCACTTCATGAATCATAACCCCAATTTGGATACAACCCATGCTGTGGTTAGACAAATCATGGTACACCTGTCCAGCAGAATACCACTCAGCAATAAGGAGGGATGAACTACTGAAATACCCAACTACTTGGATGGATCTCAAAATAACTACGCTAAGTAAAACAAGAGTACCTACTGTGTAATTCTGTTCAAATGAAATTCCAGAAAGGGCGAATCTAACCTACATTTGTTGCCTGGGGGCAGGATGTAGAGGAGGGGATTGGCTGTGAAGAGGCACATCCCCTGAAGAGGAGAATTGTGAGAGTGGTGAAAATGTCCTCTACCTCGACTTCATTTGTACACAGCTTTGTCATTCTCAGGAAACTGTGTAGTTAATATGCGTGCACTCTTCCGTAGGTACCTTTTGCCTCAACTAACTTGTGCAAGAACCAAACACAGAAAGGATGACCAAAAAAAAAACAAAAAATGAATGACAAAGTGGTTGCTTTAAATCAAACCATACCTATTATATTAAATGTGAATTTGCCAAATACTTCCATTTAGAAACAGACATTATTGGAAGGAGTTTTTTTAAAGAACCGCACTACTGGCTGTTGACATGAGCCACAGTTACAGTACAAAGACACCAATAAGTTGGACGTATGTAGGAGGATGGACAACGGCATAAAAAGGAAATAGTACAGAAAGCAGGCTGAGGTAGTTATATCAATATTAGACAAATCAGCCTTCAAGGAAAGCTGTACTACCAAGATAAAGGGATCAGTTTCATAACAGTAAAAGTAGGGACTGATCCATCGGGAAGATACAACAACCATAAATATGTTAATGCCTATTAACATATCTGCAAAATACGCGAAGCACACACCCACAGACCTCATAGTTGAAAGGGGCAGGGCGAAAATCACAGTTGGAGATTTTTAACATCCTCCCTCAGTGAGTGACAGGAGGAGACAACACAGCCCATTGAGATGGAGAACAGGGGCTGGCAAACTACAGCCCCCTGCCCAAGGGCGGCTCTCTGCCTGCTTCTGAATGGCCCATGAGCTAAGAATGTGTTTTCACTTTTAATGGGTAGTGAAGAGGAAGGCAGGGGAGGAGGGGAGGGATGGGAGTGGGGGAAGGGAAGGTGCGGGGAGGAAGAAAATGGGGGAGGAATGCGAAGAAAGAGCAGCAGCGGCTACAGTGACGCTTGTGACTGAAAAAGCTACAATTTTCACTGTCTGATTTTTACCTTAAAGGCTTCTTGGCCCCTGCCCTGGCTGCTGTGGCCCGGTGGATTGACTGGTGGCCTGGCCAGTGGGCCTAAAGGTCTCTGGTTCAGTCCCACATGCCAGAGGCAACCAACTGGTATCTCTCTCACACACTGATGTCTCTCTCCCTCTCCTTCTGCCTCCCTTCCCCTCTCTTCAAAAATAAATAAGTAAAACTTTTAGAAAAGTTTACGGCCCCTGACATAAAAGGCCTGAACCATATTCTCACCTACCTGAAATGCATTTCCATGTTCAGAACACTAAGTACGAAGTCTGAATTTTACATCTGTGTAGATCAGACACTCTTTTCAAGGACAGGGTATGTTCACCAGGATAAAGCATTTGCTGGGCCCAAATCAATTCTCATCGAATAGTTTAGAAATTAAAATCTTGCGGAGTATGCCATCTGACCAGCCCGGTGTGGTTCCCCATTTTAAAGGAAAACTTTCAGCCTTTCACTGCTGAGTATGGGGTTAGCTGTGGGGTTTGTCATATAGCCTGGTCTTTACGTTATATTGAAGTATGTTCCCTCTATCCCCACTGGGTTGAGAGTTTTACTTTTATCACGAAAAGACGTTGAATTAGCCCAGTGCGTTTTCTGCATCTGTGGCGGTGACCATATGATGTTTAATCTTTCATTCTATTAATGTGGTGTCTCACAGAGATTTCCATACATCGAAACGTCCTTGTTCAGTTCAGGAGAGGTCCTAGGCCCGGCCTGCAACGGGGAACCCCTCCTTTCCCCTGTCCCCCCGCCCCCCTACCGCCAGACCCGGTGGGGGATGGAGGGTGGGGGTGGGGGCGAGGGAGCATAGGGGGATAAATGAGTGTGACTCCTGCTGGGAATCCCCCGAGGGCTGGGCCCCACCCTGCGCACACAGATTGGGGCCTCAGCCAGGGCCTGGAGTGCAGCCCTTAGCACAGAAGCGCCTGAGTACTCCCAGAACTGGATGACAGGTGACCAGGGGTCAGCGAGCTGGTCTCAGCCGAGGCTGGCCTGGCGGTGCTGGCACTGACTAGGAGGCCCACCCCCAAGCTTGGGGCCCGAGGTCAGCCCGCCTCAGCGAGCCTCAGCAAGGACGCCCCTGTGCCAGAGCACCGCTCTCCTGGCAGGTAACAGCCCAGTAGCACAGTGTTTCTCCACGTGCACGGGGGCGGGGGGGGTTACACAGTGCTCTGTGGGGCGGAGCTCCATGAGGGAGCCCTCATTGGCTAAGCGGTCTCTGGGGTCTCCCGGACCAGGTGGCAGGAACCAGGCGCTGTCCCTGGACCTCCAAAAGGGGCGGTTTGCGCAGGCGCCTTGGAGACCCTGCGTCGGACTGCGTGGGAAGGGGTGGAACCTCCTGAGAAGGCCTCAGTCCATCCTCCGCGGGCTGAGAGGGTCGGCCATCAGGTGTAAGTCGAGCTCTGAGGGCAACCGGGAGGTTGCAGCAGCCATGGAGGCTGCAGACGAAGATGCAGGTGGTACGGCTGGTGCAGGGAGTAGCCTCGGCGGCCCTGAAGACCAGTGTGGCACCGGAGGCCCTAACAGCCGTGGTCTCCCCAGCGTTCTGGAAGGTCACGGTGGTCTTGGCGACCCTAGTGGCTCTGGTGATGTGGACACCCAGAGCGGCCCTTGCAGCCCTGCTGACCGGGGTGTCTGTGGCACTCCTAATGGCCAGGGTGCTCCCCACAGCCCCCCTTGCCAGGGCGACCCTGGAGACGAGGAAACGATGGGATCAGCAGCCATTGGTGCTCCCAATGTCCAAAGGGCTGCACGTGCCTCAGGGCCAGCGTCAGTGTCTGTAGGACCAGGAAACCGGAAGATGACCTTGTATCCTTTCCAACGCGCCCCTGAGGCCCGGTGGCCAAGGGATGGTTCAGGGACATCGCGCAAGGCCAGGGTCTGTCTTTTGGGGACAGGGCACAGGGCAGACGTGGGGAGACAAAAATGGGAGCGGGGAAGGGAGCCTGGGGTAGGCTGGTGGGAGGGGAGTGGACACCTGAGGAGGCTGGAGGGTAGGGAAGCAGGCCTGAGGGAGTGGGGGAGGTGGGACGGGATGAACTGAGTGAGGAGGGAGGCAGGCGTGGAGGTGGCCTGAGCGGAGGTGGCTTGAGCTGGCAGAAGAGGGAGGGTGGGGGTGGGAGGGAAGCTGGGGGTGGAAGACTCCAGGGGAAGGCTGGGGTGAAGGCCAGCCTCCGAGGTGTGAGGAAGCCTGAGGCTCGGCCAAATTCAGCTGCGGACGGTGCCTTAACCACGTCTCCCCCAGCAAGCTCACTGTGCCTTTCCGGTGCCCCCTGGAGGCAGAGATAGCCCGCAGGTCCATGGACCAAGAGGAGCAACACCAGCTGCAGGCGGTGGGGAAGGAGTTCAAAGTGAAGGGCAGCGTCCTGGCTGTGTGAGTTGTAGTAGGGGCCCAGATGGGGGCGGGGGAAGCGCTGAAGGCCTGAGAGCTGCCTTAGGCCTGCCCGAGCAGGGCTCTGTCATGGATACGATGATGCACTCAAGGGTTAGGTCTCAGGAGGGGCCGTGGTGTGCTGGGTGTAAGAGAGAGTCGTCACCTTCAGCTTGATTTCTGCCCCTCCCTTT